TTAATTTTGGATAATAACAACTCATAGCATTTTAACTCTTGCCCTTAAAATTGTACATACTTTAAAAATTATATTTATTTTTAAACTATCCTTTCAAGATTGAATTTCTGGTCATGTTCAGTAAGACTTAATTCATTTCTGAAGAATGCAGCTTGGATATGCTGGCTTTACACTGTTGGTGAACTGAAGTGCATGCATGGGATAATTTATGCACATACAAAATTAGACTAAATTATTTCATTTCAGCATGCACTATTGACCATGTTAATTTGGTAGAAGTCCAATGATGACAACTAAAACTGCTTCAGCATGTGTCATGTTGTTATAAGTCAGCACACCACTGCCTTCTGGAGATCAATTAGGGGTGTACAACAAACATCAGCCTAGCTAGCGATGCCCATGTCGTGTGAACAAATTTAAAAATACCTCCAAAAATAGGGACTACCTTGCAATGTTAAAGTATTTGAGGATATATATACGATAGAATAGATGTGGATTATCAAAAAAGAAAGAAATCTGGCATACTCTATATTTTTGGCTGAAACTGCTAGCCATGTGCTTGCAACCATTGTGAGCTCCACTCTTCGGATTTTCATACATTCATCAGGGCTAGGCCATCCAAGGCTGATATAATCTCGCTTCTTTCCTGAAAAATACATAAATATGAAGCCCACTGAAACAGAAGTATCATGTATTATAAATCTCCTTGTTCTTCATAATGTACCATTCCTAAATTTTAGTCAACTTGCACAATGCAAGACATTAAAGACATTTAAAAGGCGTCTTGACAAATACATGAATAGAATGGGAATAGTGGGTCCCTGGAAGGGTGGGGGGTTTTAGTTGTCTTGGGCAGCATGTCGATGCAGGCTTGGAGGGCTGAAGGGCCTGTTCCTGTGCTGTAATTTTCTTTGTTCTTGTTCAATTAGAAAGTCCATTCAAATTTCTCATAAAATAAGAAAAAAAACTATGGAAAAATACTACCTCCCAAATCAGACACTGCATCTACTTGCAGCAATTGAGTTTCAGCAGTACTGCATTGGGCTGCTAGATGGAGCACTGTGCAGTAGTATAGTGCTTCATCTCAGGAACTGAATGCCTGGAATCTAAGTTTCTTTTGTGACTAATAAAAAAAGTGACATCTGCACTGACTTTCAAGCAGTGCTGCAAAGACGAGATCCCTAAATTTCGATTTACCATAAATTGGAAGCTTATATCAAGCATTTAGGTGATTCTATTAATTTCTCTAATCCTATGTGACAATGAGGATTTGCTGAGAAAAATTAGAGAAAGTGAAACGCACCACATTAATGCTGCTAACATTTAGGTGTAGAAAAAGCACATGGATTTCAGTGATTTGCAATCATGCAATTTAACAGACATACAAAAGTTTCATGAGTATAACTGAGACGTGTGCCTATCACAAAGGAGTACACAGGCTTTGAAATTACGAATTGGTAATATTGCAAACTTTTCACTGAGATGAGGAGAAATCCCTTCATTTGTAAGGATGTGAACCTTTGGACAGATTTTTCGTCTCTAAGGGAATCAAGCCATAATGGGGCAGGTAGGAAAGTGGAGTTGAAGTCAAAGATCAGCCATGATTATACTGATTGGTAGAACATATTGGATGGGCTGTATGGTCTAACCTTGCTCCTACTTCTAATATTTACCTAATCCTATAATCATTGATTACGGCTTTACCCTATCGAAGAGTTATCAAATTTCCATTCAGATTATACACGTGTGAAAGAGAGTCTGGTCTAAAGGAAAAAGAGATTGGTCCATGCACAAAATAAAGTAATACGAATGAATTCCAACCCTACATTTTGATAACCATTTACCTTGTGGTCCTGGAGATGGTATTTTAGGCCCACTTATTTCAAATGCAGACCGATAATGATCATCTTCCTCAGTTACTAGATAACTGTCACTCTTCTCACCGTTACGAATACTGTAGTCTGGATTATCTGCACTGTCTATTTTTGACTTCTTAATACGTTTAACTTGGACAGTTATCTTTTTCAAACAAAAATTAAGAGTTATGATTGAAGAATGTAAACAAGCAGCATATTTTGTCTTAATTGCAAAGGTAATAATTGTTAGAATATGAAAAGAAGTCTATGTAAGAATCAATACATATCTTGTGTAAATGCAATTGCTGACCACAAATATTACTTTCTCTGAAAAATATGCATAAACATATTACAGCCACGCTTTTTTTTGAGCCTATCATCTGTAATATCTAAATTAAAGTTCTAAATAAAAATCAAATATGATACATTCTACAATAACATGATTAAATTCACCCAATAAACAGTTATTTGCATATTTTAATAGCTTCATTAAATCTTTTAATTCAAGGTTTTGGACTATGCAAACAGCCTGGGCTCTGACATGTCATTAATATATCAATAACTGATTACAGTTTAAACCCCACATGTGCAACTTTCCAGCTTTCAAATTATGCATCAGTTCTCATTAATGCATAATAGTGTGCTCCTGAGAACATAAGAAATAGGAGCAGGAGAAGACCACACAGCCCAACGGGCCTGAACGGCTGTTGATTATGGTCATGATCTATTTTACCTATCTGCTCCCCTTCTCACTTGGATCCCTGAAAGACCAAACGTCTGTCTACCTCAGCCTTAAATATATTGAATGATGGAGAATCATAATCCTCTCGAACAGAGAATTCTGGAAACTCATTACCTTTTGCATGAAGAAATTTCTCCTCATCACAACTCTAAATGATCGCCCTTTTAACCTGAGACTGTGCTCCCTTATTTCAGATTCTCTGGTCAAGTGTATCCAGCCTTTCAGGGGATAACTTGTCAGGTCCCTTAGATGTTCCACTAAAATCTCCTCTCATTCTTCTAAACTCCAGAGCGTGTAAACGCAATTTACTCAGCTACTCAAAGGACAGCACTCACATCCCAGGAATGAGTCTAGTCGACATTTGCTGTACTGGCTCCACCGCAAATATATCTTTTCTTAAAGATACACACAATACTCTAAAATTTGGACTCACAACAAACCCTGTACAAATGTACTAAGACTTTATTTTTGTATTCCAATACTCCTGCAATAATGTCCAACATACCATTGCCCTTCATTTTGTGAGGATTTGTGTAGATATTATTTTTTGCATGTACATGTTAAAAATTGAGGTCTCTCAATGGCTCAGTAGCTCCTTTCAGTAGAAGGTTCTCGGTTGATCCTTCATTTCTGTGCTAACTCACAAGATCTTACCAGGGCACCAGGAGTTCTCAGTGCCCTAATCTAGGGAATGAATTGAGGGATGAAAAACCTGAGCTCCTCCTCACCAATCCTAAATCTTCCCCCGACCCACCTGAAATGCACATCCACTAAACTGACATACTACATTCTTCACTCATCTTGCACCCTAATCTCCCTACCCAGCTGGCAACCTACCCCAACATTTAACTTGCATATTAACCTTTCACAGTGGCCGTCAAACTGACTCCTAAACATTTAAGCTACAGATTATGGCACATACTGCTGTAAAAGGGGGCATGAATTCGACAGAGTTCTCACCATTAATGGCTCCAATGTTTCCTGGACAGGTCTTTGCTGTTTTGTAACAGAAGGCTCCTGTCCAGGAATTTCCACAGTAGTAGTCATTTAATCATAAGAAAATTTTTATGTCTGATTAGGATCGGAAATAAGAATTCTAACCCTAATTGCACTCTCTTGGCCAATGTTTCAAATTTAGTTAGCCACCTCCAGGAGAAAACAGCTAATTTTGAGCAAACATGGACAGCATGATTTATTAACATTTATATGAGGGCTATTGTCAAATGTGATAATCTTTAAAGAGGATGAAGTAGTGATTCTGGGCTGAGATACAAAACTCCTTAATAAGCTATCATGACCAGGGACCAATGGAATATGCACATCTATATGTATATATATCAATAATTTATGGATCAGTTTATAAATAACACAGTAGCTCATGGAAAAGAAAATATGACCAAGTGACATCAACAGACTCTCTCTGCTTATCCTACTTACCATATTAGTTGCAAAAACAGCATTAGTGCAAAAGAAAATTAAATTCCCTTTATTATTGAATTAATCTTACCCATTCGGCTTCGTCGTCATCATCATCCTCACAATCTCCAAAACAGGATCCAGGCACTCCATCCTGGACACTTTTCTTTAAAACCCGAATACCCTGTAGATCTACTCGATGACCTTTAACTTCAAATGTTCCTTCAAATGCTCCTTCAAATGCTCCCAGAAGGTCTTTTTCCGAGGGCCAAGTATTTTCAAACACTTCTGACGTGGCAGATGGATTTTCATCAGTCTCCAAGGTTTTAGGAATTTCTCTTTCATTAGTGCTGTTGTTTTCTGCTATAATTACAGCTATAAACAGAAAGGACCCATAGATTAACAATAGTGGAATGAGAAGTAATGATTCCTTCAGGATGCAAAAGAAAAACAACACACCTTGAAGAACTGATAAACAACATGATCTTGAATTGTCAGGAACTGAGACAGTAGAACGTAGTATCTATACAGCAGAACAGTAAATGAGGCAAGAAATACTATGGACTACAAACAAAAGTGTTAGTTGTCTCATGTTCTGTTATCTACATGAAAATGTGTTATTGGCTTGTTTGATCACAGATGGACTACTGCTGTAGTGTCTGCCCAGATGTGCTCAAACTTCGTTTACGCTAACAGATGTGCTCTTGTGCAGTGGCACAGCATTAGACCAATTATCCTCGATTCCAAATGGCTAACTTGATACGTAGACATGTTCCATTTTACGAAGATGCTCACTTATCCCATCACAATCTGTACTTCAATTTGACAGGAAGCAATTACAAGTTCCAAAAAAAAAACCAAAGAACCATGGATGCTGGAAATCATAAACAAAAACACAAATTGCTGGGATAACTTTGCAGGTCTGGCAGCATCTGTGGAGGAAAAGCAGAGTTAACGTTTCAGGTCCAGTGACCCTTCTTCAGAACAGAACCTCCAAGGTTCCTGCATGCAACAACTTCTGAAATTGGAAGTCCATCTGTTCGTTTGCTGATCACACTGATCAACATCTGTGGAAACCCAGAAGGGCTGCTTAGCTGTGCAGCTTACAGAGAATGTTGGAAGGATGGCGGGTGCTGTCCGAAATTTGGTGAACATCATAATAAGCTTCATAATAAGGTTGGCAAACAATATTCCTCTTTAATAGGCAACTCACTGCTACCTAGTGAGAATCTTGCCATTACATCCAGAATTTAGTTAAAGGACGCAGTCAGTCGCTCCCAATGTCAAGACAGACCTCGCTGACTTATTGCCACATTACTTGATATGGCCCTCATCATTCAGGTCCCCATAAAATTCCACACTAATGCTAATGTACTATTAGCTACCATTTTTATTTTTCCGGCGTCCTAAGCCAACGGACAACAGTTAGTGCACTTTCCTCACAACAATACTGTAAACTCTGACATGCTTGAACACTGATCTGGAATACTGGCATTTGAAATAACTTTAGAAAGGACTAGTTTCATATCTTTGAAGTGACCCAAGGCTGGAAACTTGCTTCTGTATTACTTGTGAATTTAGAGTTTTATTTGCTCAAGTATTCCTCAATAGTAGCATACTCATCATCGTAATCATTGATATAAATCAGGACCGTGTAAACCGTTAAGTCCACTGACTTCCCAAATAAATGTCTCCTTGCTTTCCACATTCAGTTTCATTTGAAATTTTTTCATTGATTAACAGCAAGGGTATTTCATTTGCTGTTACATCTGTGCTGACCAAGTGCTTTCCCTCAACTATTTTGCAGGAAATCACCACGCCTTTAGTAATTTCTGCATGCTGTCATCCTCAAACCTAAAGCAGATAGAACGTGCAAATTTCTTTCATTACAGAGGACTAAAATAAGATTAAAGAACATTTTAACTAATCCACACACTGTAGATCTGCATCCACTGTCCAGCAGTGTGATTGCTCAAGTCTGTGACAGAAACAAATATTCATTACTGGACTGAAGTTTCTTGTATCTCTTCTATTCTGCCTGATCAGTATCACCATCTTCACTTTCCAAACTATCTGTGTCATGTGCAATTTCCCAACCCTTGTACTCTGTTTAGAACAATTAATTGCATAATGACATTATGATCCTACCATAGCATGTACATTTCTGAGATTCATTCTTCTGTTATAGTTCCCAGCTTCTGTCAACTGCCTATAATTGCCAGAAGTGTCTCTAGCCTCATTCCTTTTAGTTATCATTCTTTCATATTGACGCTTTCAGCATTTATCTTGATAGTGTCTTGCTGCAGCCACAGATTAATCCTCTATTCGTTGTGTTATGGCTGAATGACCCATTTAAGCCATGAAGGTTACTAAGAATTGTTATTTTCTCAGGAGTTCTTTTACTCCTTCTGACATCTGTTTCAAAACTGCGTTTCTTGCTGAAAATCTAATTCCAGCTAATATGAAGAGTCTGAGATAACAAGGTGTAGGAGCTGGATGAACACAGCAGGCCAAGCAGCATCAGAGGAGCAGGAAGGCTGAC